CGCCATGGCATTCGAAACAACCAACTCAATCTACTCTTATAGTTACTTAGCAACTGGTGATTCATTTTATGGGAACAAATTTAAAATTGTACCTGAAATAGTATATTGTGTTTCGAGGCTTGTCACATTCCGAGGCTAGATTTTTTTTACTGGGCATAGTTGTATGTAAAAAATTTATTTGACATTATCATTAGAATCTTGATGAATTGCCAATATTAAAATTATTATAATTTTAAAGGTTTACAATTTCACCAAATAATTTTTTCCGTATAGTACGTATATGTAGCATGCATGTGTATTAATTACATCGACTTTATACTGCAAGTGGTTTAGATTATGGGACTTTTTAGTAGCTTGTAGAGTGGACTATGTACATACGTACAAATTATTTTTTATAACTTTATTGGGTTTAAACAATTAAGAATGCAAATTTGAAATAAAAAGCTTAATTAAAATAAATTAAAATATCAATACATTGTAAATAAAATATTAAGAAGTTTTTCGTATATCGAACAGATGTGTATATACAAAAATCTGGATTTTTTAAACCAGTTCAAAAATTTGGTAATGATTCTGTGAGGATTGACTAAGTTTATGCAAGTCAGACTACTAGTTCAGGACTGAAACGACTTAATTTTAACATCCCTACATATAACAGTACGATAGAATATTTATAATCACGTGATGAGTATAGGTAGGTTTTGGTAGGGCCTATATTTCCAAATTGAGACTCCCAAATTTCACAATAATCCGATTTCATAATCAGCCGTGACAATAATTAACACAATTTAATACTTATCATAACGTAAATTCACCAAATTTATGCCGTTTATACGTGCGTAGCGAAAAAATAGCAAAAAAAGGTTGTCTTTCGTGGCACGAAATTGATGCTTATCAGTTACAAATTTTATAAATTTTTGCACCTAAATTTTTGTACTTATCGATATTATTTTACCCGATTAAAAGTCTTGATCACATAACACCTGGGTTTTTGCATCCTAATTGGCTGATTTAAGATAATGTCGTATTTTTAATACTGTAAAACTCTCTAAATGCACGGATTCCAACTTATAAGAGCTCTATATAATTTCTACTCTATAAATATACTGTTTCAATTTTTTTCTTATGGTCCCGACAGTAGTGCATTTAGGGAGTTCTGACTAGGGATGTTAATCGGTCCCTCAGTAATTATTAGCCGATTTTGAGCAAGATTTGTAAAGAATTGGCTTTAAACTAATATTCGTCCAATAAATAAAGTTTTAGAAAAGTTATTTCCTATAACAGTCTCTAATAGAATTTTATCTATTCTTGCATTAATTTTCGAGTAATTTAGATGTGACCGATTAGGGACCGATCAGTGTAGAGAGAATTTTGTTGATCGGTCCCTAACCGGTCCCATCTAAATTACTCGGAAACCAATGCAAAAACCGATAAACCTCTATTAGATGCTGTATAACTTTTCTATATTATTTATCGGATGAAAATTAGTTAAAATGCATAAATCTTGCTAAAAGTCGGCTGATAATTACTGCGGGACCGATTAACATCCCTGGTTCTGACTGTATATCGATATTGTAAAAATTTTATGATTCGCTATCCGCTTATGCTAAAAAAATTTCGCTACTGGTAACGCTAGGGCTGTTTGAAAAAACCCCCGTTTAATGGAAAGCGATTTTAACGTTAATAATAATTCTGATTAGTTTTATTTCTAATTATGTTTAAATTACGTTGACCAATTAAATAAATATTCATTAATTAAATAATGCAATAAGTAAATCTCGCCAATAACTTAATATTTAAATTAGATCTCTAAAAAAAAAAAAAGCTTCGAAACTAAGCTGAGATTGTCTTGATTAAAAAAAAAAAAAATGGTTCAAAAACGTAAAAAAGATACATCACAAACTAAAAATGAAGAAATTGATGACATTCCTGAAGAAGAAAAACTTCGTTTAATAAACTCAACTGGGTTATTTAAAACCCTTAAAGAAGCAGAACGAGAACGTAGTGAACAAATGGATCA